AATGGAACAACATTTTCTAAGTTCCCAAGATGCGTTAAAACATTGTATCTTAAAATAGCTCTAAGTGCAACTTTTTCGAAAAATTTTCGAAAAATTTTAATTTGACTTTTAAACATCATAAAATTATCAATAACGATCGGTCCGATGTGGTATTTTAGAATGTTATAGGAATCATTTCGTTAAACATTTTCTCACTAACACACAACATCGATTTGCTTAGTAAAAAAATGAGTATTTGTATTGCCAATTTACCCGATTATTTTCGCGGATCATCAAGTGAGTCGATACTTTTTTAGGGGAGTGTATTTTATTATCAGTAAAGATTTATAAATAATTAATTAATAATGACAAGTACAGTATATAATAATTTTATCTTTTATCAATTATTTGAAAAACTTCTAATTCATCAAATTTACCACCATTTACTATATTGATATTATTATAAGCCATTGGTTTACTATTGATTTCACCATTTGAAATAAACCGGACATCATCCACTTGATTGGAATGCAAATCCAGAAATTTTATGTTTAATAGAAATGGCATTAATACTACACAGATTAGTTATATTAGCATGCAGTTCATTGTGAAATTGATTTAGTACCGATAGTTGTTTGTATACCAAAGATTTATAACGAAATTTAATACTTGCTGTAAGTAATGATGATTCATTGATTAATAATGATAATAATGATTATTTGCCATTTGAGCAAGGCCTTAAACATATTAATATAGATGGTTATAATAACAGACTCTTATAGCAATAAATTTGATGAATTGGAAGTTTTAATAAGATTAATTAAAATAAATTAATTGGTTAAAATATGATTGGTGCTGATCATCCTTCATTTTTTTTTTAAAAAAAAATGAATTTATTATTTGAAAAGTATTTTAATGAGAATGAAAGATTACTAAGCACTGAAGATTTTTATGATGTAAAAATTAAAGTTGGTGTAGAACCAAATATTAATGTAATTCATGCCCATTCATTCATTCTACAAGTTCATTGTCCATTCTTTCGAAATGCCTTAACCA